TCTTTCGACATTCCATTTTCTACCTCATGTTCCTGGAGATATACAATATAATCATCTAAAATTGCAAATCTCCTTTCTCTTCTGGATCGCCTTAATGGCACAGGTTCTTGAGGTTGAGGTTGTAAAGTTTATTCCTCAGGAACAATTACTTCATCTTGAATGAGGGATTGAACTATATTATCTTGAACAACATTGTCTGGTTGAGGATCTGAAGTTACTTCTCGAGCAATGACAGGTATAGGAACCTGTAATTGGTCAAAAGTAGTAGTAGGAAGTGGGATTACTCCTGCTTGCTCCTCAAAGACAATGTCTCTAACTGGATTTCTCCCCCCAAACTCAACATCCTCAAAAAATGTTGCAATTCCCGTCTCAAATATTGACCTATTTGTGGGATCATAAAATTTGTAGCCCCGTGATCGTTCGGCATAGCCAATAAAGTAGCTGCTGATGGTTTTGGAGTCCAATTTTCTTTCATGAGGTTTATAAGGCCTCGCCTCAGTAGGACACCCCCACACATGCAAGTGTTTTAGACTAGGCTTTCGCCCAACCCAAAGCTCATAAAGTGTTTTTGCAGCTGCTTTAGTTGGCACCCGATTTAAGAGATAAGTTGCTATCTTTAGAGCCTCACCCCAGAGGGACTCTGGTAAAGTAGAATGACTGATCATACTTCTTACCATATCCTTAAAAGTCCGGTTTCGTCTCTCAAATACACCATTCATGCTAGGGGATCCTGGCATGGTGTATTGTGGGACGATTCCACATTCCTCCAGGTATTTTGCAAACGGTCCTGGACGTTGTTCACCTGATCCATCATATCTGCCATAATATTCACCACCACGGTCAGACTTGACACTTTTAATCCATTTGTTGAGTTGTAACTCAACTTCGGCCTTAAATTTTTTGAATACGTCCAAAGACTGTGATTTCTCATGGATAAGAAATAGATACCCATATCTGGAATAGTCGTCTATGAATGTGATAAAATATTGTTGACCATTCCAAGACGCCATAGGGAATGGTCCACAAATGTCCGTATGAATTAATTGTAAGACATCTGTAGTCCTATGGGCACCATATTTCTTCATTTTGGTCTGTTTTCCCTTGATACACTCAACACAGACATCAAAATCTGAAAAATCAAGAGAGTCCAAAATTCCATCAGACACAAGGCGCTCAACTCTAGATTTAGAGATGTGACCTAGGCGTTTGTGCCATAATGAGGCTGAATTTTCCTTAGTTAATTTACGCTTTGTACCTCGTGATTCCACGTGCAAGGTTTCATTATAAGATGCAATAGTTTCGAGCAAATATAGATTATCAAACGCATTAAGTAAACCAGTACCAACAACATTTGAATTAATAGACATACTAAACTTCATATTTCCAAAAGAACAACAATATCCCAATTTGTCCAATACAGAAACAGAAATTAAATTCCATCTAAAGGACGGTACAACAAAAGTGTCTAATAAATCCAACTAATAACCAGTTTTCAGCAATAATCTAAAGTGCCCTATTGCCTGCACTTCTATGGACTTGCCATCACCCACAAAGATGTATCTTTCAGCATCAGTTGGCTTTCGGTAGTTCAGGCAACCCTGCATAGAAACACATATGTGAGTAGTAACACCAGAATCTACCCACCAAGTGTTTCTTGGTACTGAAGCTAAATTTATTTCAGAACAGACCAAAACATAAAATGTACCTTTCTTTACACGCCAGGCGACGTATTTGGCAACCATCCTGCACTTTCTGTTTCTTTGGTTCCGGACCCTTAGGAGCAGCAACTTCCTTTCCCTTATGCTTTCTTTTGCCCGTATGCTTGGAGGTGCTTGCCAGATGAGCACTGCAGTCCTTTCTTGCTTCAATCTCTCTTCCTCTTGCACACAAAATGAAATGAGCTCATTGAGAGTCCATTTCTCCTTCTGGCAGTTATAACTGACCTTAAATTGGTTAAATTGTGTAGGAAGAGAGATGAGAACTAAATGCACGAGCAAATCATCAGATAGATTGAGCTTTAGTGCCTTAAGTTTTGAAACAAGATGAGACATTTCTATGATGTACTTGCGAACATTACCCTTGCCTTTATACTTCATTGAAATCAAGCTTGCTAAAAGCGTGCTTGTTTCAGCCTTATCATTTTTAGCAAAATGCTTTACTTTATTGAAATCAAGCTTGCTAAAAGCGTGCTTGTTTCAGCCTTATCGTTTTTAGCAAAACGCTTTTGAATTTCTGAAAGAAATTCACCGGCAACGGTAACATCCTCTGTTATTGCACCCCGAAAAACTTCTGGAATCCCACGCTTCATGATCATAAGACTTAGCCTGTTAGAACGATCCCACTTTTCAAAGTACACAGTTTCCTCAGGAGTACTTTGTACAGTGAGAGCATTCTGTTTTGGCATTCTTAATGCCAAGTCTATGTCCATGCAGCCGAGAACAATCAATATGTTCTCTTTCCAGTCCTTAAAGTTTGTTCCATTTAACATTGGAACATTGTTCATGTTGGCAGAGATTGAAGTAGTCGACATTAAAGCTGAATCGAAAAGAAAATAAAAGGAATAAACAATTATACTCACATTAAGTTACCAAACAGATAATCTCTAAATAAATTAATTTAATGACAACATCTCAAGATACCGAGCACAACATTAATACCAAACCTTTGGGTAGTGATATTAACTGTAAGTGGTATTCTTGTTGTAAGGATCAAATATTGACAATAAGTTATGTCAAATAACAAATCTATCTTTTGATGGATTTATTATTCACATTAGGTTGCCTTGACAATTGGCACATGTTTATCACCACAAAATGTGTGTGTAATTCTGCCAAGTATTAATCATGTCCTTGGACCGATAAATACCAGCAAGAAATACACATACATGAACATCAAAAACATTCCATATAAAACAATCTAGACAAGAGAGATCACTTTTGTGACATCTTGTTTGAATTGACTTATATTGAGAATGTTAGAAAATTAAATTTCTATAGACGTTGTATGAAATTACATTAAATTTAAAGATTTCTAAATTTGTGACCCCGTATATGTTATATAATCTGCAGCAATTCCAATTATATATATACATACCACTTGTAAACATAAATTTCAGAACATGAAACTTACACTTTGGATCATTTACCATGTGTATTATCAAGAAATCAAGACAAAAAACATACCTGAATCCATCGATGAACGGTTAAACGGAAGCGTGATTATCAATAAACTCTTTGTTATTGATTATGTTATTGCCTTCTAATCCTTTCCCCTTTGGTGACTTATGTTTCTCCTTGAGATGATTTAGAAAAACTGAACAAACCGTTTGAAACAGTCACTAATGATAATAAAATTGCTCTGTTTTCAAACGCTTAAAGTAGGCAGATGGAAGTGGGTTTTTTTTTTTTTTTTTTTTAAACCAATGTTCACAATAAAACCAATCAAACCGCATGAGAATAAATATATATACATGATATAAATAAACCCTCAATTATTGATGAACTAAAGCAAACAGAATTACCCAAATCAAACAAAAAACCGAAAACCAAACAGAATTTTACATTTCCAGAAACCAAACAGAATTTGCAGCAGAAAAAAAAAACAGAATCCGAAAACCAGGAAACCAAATCGGATGAATAAAGCATATCAATTTCTAATAATACACATGATATAACCGCTTTGATATCACTTGTAAACATTATTTTCAGAACATAAAATTTATGCTTTGGATCATCTACCATGTGAATCATCAAGAAATCAAGACAAAAACTTACCCGAATCCATCAATAAACGGTTAAACGGAAGCGTGATTATCAATAAACCCTTTGTTATTGATTTTGTTATTGTCTTCTAATCCTTTCCTTTACCAGTGCCTTATCAATTCTCCTTGAGAGGAAATAAAAGAAGAATGGCAGTTCTTCACCATTGGCAGGATTAGGGACCATAACAATATAAGGTTGAAATAGGTTTTTTAACAACACAACCGTGTGGTAGTTTTTTTTATGAAAACCAACTTAACCAATATGTTTTAATTTCTATTTCTACCCCTCATAGAAATAGAAATTACTCAACTAGTATCTACACATTAGGTCCATGAAACATATACTCTTAAGCCTATTAACTAAATTGAATCACTTAAATTGCAGGCTTCTTATAAATGATAACACCACATTTAAATATGTGGTCCCATTGAGACATTATCTAACAAGTGTGCCATTAGAGGATCACTGCTCAGGATCAAGGGATGGCAGAGGAAAGTGGTACCGATATATGGCATCTACCCGTGTGTCAATGTGGTCAACACAGGTATTAAGCGCACCAAATTATTAAGAAATGACATTCATTTACATGGCCATCTCTTGTTCCCATTAAATGCGTTTATTGTAGTGTTCTTCCTCCATTGCCAAAAAGTCTGTCCAATAGGCAAGTGGCTGTTGTTGTGGTTTTGGCATTACAACTTCAGGATGATGTTGAGGATCATGTATGGGAACATCCGCAGCAGCCATGCTTGCAAGCAAAACATCAGCTCCTCCAACTCAGTTTATTGTGTACTCAGTAATGTCGTTGGCAATAATTTTTTCGGGCTCATCTTCAAATATAACTTTGAAGTGTTTGAAGATTTTGGTTAATAAGGCTCCAAATGCTAAAGATTTGTCTTGTGTTGATAAGACAAGAGCCATTTCTCGCATAATAATATAGTACAAATCAATAGTTTGACCAACCTCAAAACAGTAGAGTACGTAAGCATTAAATATAGGGACAGTATCATAGTGTCATGCTTTCGGAGTTACATTCTCTACTAAAAAATGATGGAGAATGTGAAGATGTGGTTTCAGGTGTTTGGCAAGTAGATTTGAGCCTGTAGTTTTGCTAATACAGATAGTCAAATAAACTTCGTTGATATTCCCCACTATTTGAGCCATTTCTTGCTCAATTTGGAAATATATTTGGTTATTTCTTTGATCGACATCCAGAATAGAAGCCAAGATTGGAACAGTCAATGAAATGAATTTGCCTTTCATATAAGACTGAATTATGTAGTCGTCTTCTTCGACATTCGAACGTTTTAGATGCAAATAAAAAAGGGCAAAAAAACGATGATAGACCTTTCTAGGCAAATTTATCAAGTTTACCCATCCTATACCTTCAAGTTTGTCGATCAACAGAACATCATACATTGGTGCAAGGCTCACTCTTCGACCAGTAATTATTGAATAGGAAGACATACTACCATAATTAACTTCTTCAAGTTGTGAAGGGAAGTCATTTGACGGATATTGTCACCCTTGATTTGATGACTGTCCAACCTCTCAAGCTTGTGGTTTCTTTGTGCGAGGAGCCATCACTTTTTTGAACTAACAAAAGTATAGACCAACGTAATTCCGATCAATTTTTTGATAACAACGCTTTTCTAAAAATAATCCCTACATATTCAACTTTGAAGCAAAAGAATTTGTGAGGCATCAGCATAATAATCAGTAATAATTTTTAACAATAACATGATACGTCTTCCATGTATTCACAAAAAATAAATAAATAAATAAATTCAGTCGCATATAACCAAACCTATCTTCAGATTTGCGTGTATTGAAAAAAATATATATAAAAGACCATAAAACAAACCCATATACAAATTTTAAATATTGAGCAACAACATGAAATGTAAACCAATATTAGAATATAAAAATTTACCTAAGTTAATCAACGAATTTCAATATTTATTCAGTTTGATTGGTGTTTGGGAGATGGATTCAGTTTGATAACATGTTAAACACTGCTTTGCAAAGTCACCAAGTGATACATCTCTATGGAATTCATCAACTTCAGGACATGCACCTTTTAAATTGAAAAATAGGAGAGAGTTTGGTGAACTCAGTAAATACTCTGAGGGGTTGGTCCACCTTTGCAAATAGGTTAAATGGTGGTGTAAAGGAGGTTGGTGGGTTGATAACCGCTGGTTCACCTTTCTAAGGGGTTGGCGTCATTGATAACATGTGGGTGGGTGATGTTTCACAACTCTTTGATGATAATTATACTTGAAAAAAAATATTTAATAAATTCTCATAATTATTTGTTTTGTAAAAATAAAAAATAAAAAAAATATTCTCGAATTTTTTTTTAATTTGTAAAAAGAAATTTCAAAAAATATTCTTGTATTTTATGTTCAAAAATTATTTTAAGATTTATGATTCATGTGCTAAGTTATGACTTTTGAGTAAGTTGTATGAGTTTCGAAAATAATTTTGCTTTATATTTTGACTCGTTGTGCATTCATTTTTTTTAATATTTAATTTTGTTTATCTTATTTGTCAGCAAAATTTCTTTTGTTGCATATATTAATGTATTTATTTTAACATACACTATAGTTTATATATTTTTGTGTTGTATTTTGTTTAAAATTTTTAAATGTCCACTGGTACCCAAAGCTCAGTTCACAAATCTTTTGCAAAAGTATACTTAATTGAAAATTGAAAATATTTTGCAAAAGTATACTTGATTGAAAATTGAAAAATATTCTGAGGGGCATGTGGTGACCTCACCAAATACAATTTGACGTGGGGTTGGTCAAGCTTGCAGAATGGGGTAAATGGTGGTGTAAATGAGGTAGGTGTGTATTATTGCTCAATGTTTCAGCAGTGTGATGACAGGTTAGTATAAATAAGCTACGTGGGTGTTATTGTTGGCAGGGTGATGACAGAAAATGCAGGTGGGTGTTTTTTTTTTAATTTGTAAAAAAAAAAATTCCATGTATTTAATATTTAATAAATATTTTAGTTGTATCAGATATTTTGAATGAAATGTTCACAAAATTCTATGTATTTAATATGTTTGATGAATTATTTTTGAATCAGTAAACATAAAATTCTATGTAAAATTAAACAAATAATTTTGTATTATATTTGAAATTTTTTAGCATTCATCTTTTTTGATATTTAATTCTCGTTATCTTATTTGTGAACAATAAAAATTTTATTTCACATGTTTATGTATTTATTGCAATAGGTAACACTGTCACTTATAAAATATATGACGGATATTTTATATGCTAACATTTGTTACACTTATTAACTTGTTGTTAATATTACAAAGAAAGTTCAACAAAATCTGTGTATAGTCTGTTTGATATGGCAAATGGCTTGAGTCTTTGTTCAAGAACTGACTTTGTTCAATTTTTGCATTAGGAACACTTAAAAAATGAAGAACTATATTTCCAAAAAAAAAAAAAAGGTTGGCGACACAAATTACAATTGCATTTCACACATTACAAATAAAAGAAATAAGAATTGTACATACAATACTAACAAAAAAATATTCTTCGCATGATTTCTTGACATCAGAAATCTACCCATGACCAACATGATTTTCCCACATAGCATTAGCAATTGCGTCCCTCGAGTTTGATTGGTACGTCAATCCATGTTGTGACAGGTCCACATACTCAACTTGACCTCCACCAAACCCCTCTGCTGCCGCTTCAGCCGCCATTTCATTATCAACTTCCATGAAGAATGGGTTCATAACTGCATGCAAACGAATCCAATTGTGCACTACACAACATGCAATCACGAGAGGTCCTTGTCGTGTTGACTTGTAATTAGGCATAGACAACAATATTAGAAAATGTTTCTTCAGTACCTCAAATGTTCTTCCTATGACATTCCGTAATAACGAATATCGGTAGTTAAACAATTCCTTGGGTCCAGAATAATGACGGCCACAGAACTCTTGCAAGTGATAGTATTGTGAACGAAATGGGCAAGAAATCCTAGCATGTTCGTGAACCCGACATCCACTAAATAATACTTGCCTACATATAAATAATGTTTATAACACTCTGTCAAATACATGTACACAAATATCGTATTTCAAGAAGTACAGTATGTTATTTTGTAACACTGACCATAGGGTGTATGTGGGAAATGTACATCATCTCTTGTAATTGAGTCAACTAAAATTGTGTAGTCGTGGGCAGTTTCTTCCCATCCAGAATTAATAAATGTGAACAACATGTCGAAATCGTAAGCTGCAAGTACATTTTGCGATACCATGGCTTTGTGACCACAGAATGTGTTTTGTCTTGAAGCAGGGACCCACACGTCCACCAATGTGTCATCGATAGTACCGACACAATCCTATATCATATTAACAGTTTTACATCAAATGCATCACAAACATAGATTTTACTTTGAAAAAATAACAAAAAAATTTCTTCGTTACCGTTATTGCAAATTTGCAAGTCGTACATATAGTCATACCTTGAACTAAGGAAAAAACCTCATATCATATAAATTTTTTTTTGGTATTTCCGATTGGTTCTGTGGTTTGATAACCGTTGTTACAAGCTTGCATAGTGCCCGCATAATGATTTTAACGTGCCGACAAATAGTTTCAGTGGAGTGCTGAAATCTATCGGCCAGTAACCTATGCCAGTCATTTTGTGCGCATGTATGTAAGAAAATGCCAAGCGCCTCAACACTCATATGCATCTTTTTAATAATCACAAGGCCATTTTGAAGTAAGGTGTCTTTCAATGAAATGAAGATTAGGGCATCCATTCACATGATGTCCATCATTGTTTCTAGATGGCTATTTAATAAATTAAAGGTGTAATCATCACCTTTGAATAGACAAGTTCGTTGCGGTCGTCTTGTGGTTAACGCGTTCATATGTTCATTGATAGAAGCAATCATCAAGACGTCCATAAAATATGCCATAACCTCATCCTCCTCTGATGCGCTTGCCATTACATTGTTTTCTGTATCAGATGACATAGTGTTTCGGCTACATAACAATAAAAACATAATTATTCTGACTAATTACAAAGAGGATAACTGTTGTCATTATTGATGAACATGAAATTAGCCACTGTAATTAATTGGTTGGCCTTAGTCATTTATTGAAGTAAATTAAAATATGCAGTCAATGTATACAGGTTAATTTTTGTTCATCTTGTTAGACATGCTGAGCCTTCAATATGCAAATTATATACAATGTGTGAAATGGAAAATAGGAAAAGGGACATGAATCAATGAAGAAGAAGAAGATAACATAAATAGAAACTAAGTAGAAAGAAATGAGACATGAATCATTACATGGAGTGTATTTATGTGACACACCAATTATTTAATCTTTATCCATAAGTCATGAGATCAAAACAATTAGAGAAGAAAAAAAAAAAAAAAAACATGAATGAAAAGAAGAAAAAAAAAAAGGAATAACTCAGAAAATTATGTTTCACAACCATTGCAAAAACCGCAAACTCTAGCAAAGACACAGTTTCACAGTTGACTACAAAGCTAGGATCATTGATAAGTGCATATGCGCAGGAGTGCGCATAGAAAACCTCCGCCAATCCTTATCTTTGAATAGTGTCAATGCCTTAACATACTGCACCGGTAGTATGTCTTTCAGCTGAAATAGGGCATCTTGACATGCGTCAAGGGCATAGTCATCACCACTTACATTTATAGCCTTCGTGTCTATTGATCGTGCACGGGACTGTTCCGTCTTTGCCAACACATAGGCAGTGAAAGCCGTGCAAACATCATCAAAGCCACTTGACCGTGACTTTTTGGAACGACCACTGTCACTCTGGCTATGGCCCCTCTTGTGACTTTTGCCCTTACTTGTTTCCATGTACCCATCTTTACACAAATCAACAGGAATGGCATCAGCCGCATTGCTACCTCCAGCTCCAGGTGACCAAAATTTGTTAAGCATATCATCCTTTTCATCGAAGTCAGGGGCCCCCTGTGTGGATGCACGAGCCAAGGCCTTTGTGGCACAACAATGTTCTACAATTCCAGTCATTTCGTGAAAATACCCAAATCCTTTAGTCCTGAATTTCTTTACATTTTTTGATGCCTCCCTCCAATTGCAAAATATTAACATAAGCGTATGGTACGTGTGACAAAATTTTACAAATAAATCTACAAAAAATGGGAACAGATTAATATAATACCTTATCCCAAAAGTCATCAGGTGCAATAATTGTTCCTACAATCGGATCCCATCCAAGACCAGTTTGTGTCTGAAGCCACTTCAAAGATAAGTAATTAGCATTGAGTCACTGATATTTTTGTCTCACTTGTTTTGGTGTGTATCGGAACCCATATGCATTTTGCAACTAGGCGTCTAGACAGTACTACGGTCTCTTGGTTGGTTTTTTTGCACCTCTTCTCTCAACATGTTAATTAGCCTTAATTCAATTTTAGAGCTCCACATTTTTGTGTCTTGATTATCATCTGAATTGTTCATATCCATTTAATGCACAATTTATATGTAAACTAAGCTTATGTAGAAATTAAAAAATAAGAACACCTTCTACAACTTGTGCATAAGCCCTAAGAGACTTTTTTCCATCAAACCTCATCCACCAGTAAAAAGGCAAGAAAATCATATGAATTAATTATGTATCAGTTCAAGTATGATAAAAGCAAATTAATCACAACAAAACTGCAAGAGAGCTGCAAAATCAAAATTTAAACATTCTTATAAGAAAGCAAAAGAAGAGCAGAAGAAGAAACAAAAAGCAGAACAAGAAACAGAAAATAGAAGTAGCCGAACCACCCAGTTGGTGGTCGGCTAGCCGAAAGTCCAGGTGGACGACCAGCCAGATGTCCTGGTGGACTTCTGGTCAGATGTCTTGATGGACGACCGACTCAGCCACTTTTGCCTAGATCAGAGATAACCCGTTACATTTCTCAGTTATTCCATAACAGATCGACTGAAGGACATACATACCAGAGGAGTAAGAGTTGAATAATTGTCACTGGTGACGGAGTGGGTACAGTGGCTAGATCTACGTTACTTCGGACGCCCTCTGATTAGAGAAAAAGCTTCACAAATTTGACATACGACAACAAATTTCGAAATTAAGCACAAAATCAATCAGTTGCATACAGAACCCATATATATATTTGGACAGAAATTATGAACACTATACCTCTTTGTTATCATTGCTTCGTTGCCCGGAGGGTGAATCGACCACAAAGCACAAACTGACAGTCACTTGATTTGTGAGAGCTCGTTGATGCCAATTTATGGGTGGGAAGGAATCGATTCGCAGGCATGGTTTGGATTTGAAGGTTAGAGAGTTGTTTAAAGAGAGAAGGAAGTGATTGAAGAGCTACAGGTCACCCGTGAAGCATCTTTAACTTTGATTTTCTTTGGCACGTGAACCTTTTCAGAATGGAGAAGACGAATCAGAGAGTATGTACGAAAAGGTGAGAGCTTTGGCTTGGAAGCAGTTCTGCCAAATGTGAAACAGAAGTGTGTTTTGAAATGTGTGGTGGAATCAATTTTTGAACACGCCATCCAAACAGACCATTCAGGTGAAGGGGTGGAATTATAATTACAAAGTTACACCAAACACAGCCTTAAATTTTAACCTATTTCTCAAAACAAGCCTTTGTTAGGTACTACAGCATATATTAGTAGAAGATAAGATTTAGACACCCATGACAACCATCAGCGCAACAATTTGATCGTGTACCTCATGAGTCGACTCCGAGCACCAACAATTAACCTTATTTATTGGTAAGCTAACGCATGTGCGGATCTGTTGGAAACCATGAAAACTCGGTTAGAGATTTTCAAGTTTTTATCAACCCACCTCCTTGTGTTTGTAATCAGTTACTACCTATAATATCCAGCACCTTTTTAATCAAAAATAAAATAAAAGAAGAAGAAGAGCAGATAAGATTTATTCATCTGATTTCATGGTAGTTTTTTATTGATCAGTGACATCACATATAATGATCTCATTATTAAACTCAATACTTATTTCATTGGAAATATTTATCATTTAATGTTGCATTAGTTTAAAGGGTTTTATCACTCATGTATGATATCAATGGTGACACATAAGAGTATTTACATTTTAGGACATACAAAATTGATCATAAATTGGTTATTGTAAAATAAACAATGTTGTAATAATTTCATTACATATGCTTATTCCTAATATAACTTTGAGACATAAAAACATAAACAAAATATGATAAGCAAATATATTTAAGATTTAATCTTGTATCCATTTTATTTAATTAATCAATTAATTTGTTTTATTTATTAATGGACGTAACTTCTATCTAAAAATAAATAAACAAATAAATGGATTTAAGTTTTAGTTTAAATTTAAAAGACACGTCGATTCTATAAATCAGGAGCCTAGGGACATGTCCTTCAGGAAAAGGTTCGTAGAGAGGCTGATCACTAGAAGATCACCCAACAATCTAATATCTACATTTGTTGGAAATTAATTTTTAATCTATAATTAAATTAGATATGTCGGATGATATAATTTGTGTATTAAAATATTGGAATTTTAATGGAAGTAAATTATGTGTGTGTGCGCGCGCTCGTGTGAGAAAATGAGATGTATACAGTTATTGTTGCAATCTAAAATGTATCCATGTCTTCTATATAAAGATGCTATTGATCATTGTATGAAGGCACACAAGTATAGAAGAAAAATAAGTTATTAAAGTCTTTGAAAGGTACAAGTTAATTCATTAATTTTAAATCTATATCACACGATCACTTTCGGGATGAAGTTCAATGTAAATTTCGTAATTCATAGCATTTGTGATAAACAAATTGAGAATACACAACGTAAAATTTAAAAAATAATATGAAATTGATCACATCAAATTGGTATGCAGAAGGAAGGAAGGAACACATCTAGTAATATAGAAGCCAAATTGCATTTGTAAAATATGCCAAATTGCAGGCAACCAAGCAAGGATTAATGAACTCAGTGGGAAGATGGACAGGGAGTTTGGTGAAACTGTGGGGGAAGATGAGGTGGGAGAATCAGCTGGTTGCAAAAAAAATTATTGCATGGATATAATGGATTTGATTTGTCTGTGTAAATCAATCAAAGAAGAGAAAGGTAAACCAACCAAGCACCCTGCCCCCTTGTGTTCTATATAGATGATACCGATCCTATTATCAGCAAAGCATGAAAAAAGAAAGACAAATGAAAATGGGTCAATTAATGCGGGTGGTAATAAGGAATTTGATTTTGTTCACTCTAAAAAAATACACTTTTTTGAAGTATGGTGTCTACATATTTGGACCAATCAAATTTTGTGTGTATTGTTTACACACTTCATTTTCGGTAATAAGGATAAACGGTGTATATTGTTTGGGCAATAGTGAGGGCAAAAAGGAAGACGGCAGCAATTACAGAGAGAATGGCCCAGGGATTCCTGAAATAGGTATGAATGAGATTTGCACGCCACTCATTCCAATGTTTCTTGCAGTACCTGTGGACCTTCTTATGCACCACATCCAAGCTGCTGTCTGGGTCGAGAGTTATATCTTTGGAGAGGGAGTTGAAGAGTTTTGCAACCGCTTTGTCACTTCCGATGGCATTCTGGATGATACTTCGCGAGTGCAGGAGGCTAACGTCGCCCGCACTGTCTATGATGTTGTCCATGAAGAAGATATAGGAGGTCACCTCATTCCCAGACCCTACATGGAACCGCTCGAAAGCCATTAGGTTCAAAAACATTGACTCGGTCGCATCATCCACCACAATGAGTGGGAGCTTCAGCACCCCGCCTTTGAATGAGATATCTTTCAGGCTTCCACTCTTACTTTTCTTGAACCGGATTCCAGCTTCGTTGAGCTCCGTTGCAGACCTGATGATCTCGTCCCCACCACCACCTTCATGGTCTGCGCTGCGGCCTGATTTCCGGCTTTTTTTTTCCTTGTTGGACCGGTCTTCCCAAAGTAGGCTCTTCCTGTACACGTCCAGTAAGTGCAAGCATTTGCCCATTCTTAATGAGTCAGGTGGGAACCGGGTGTTGGGGTGGCAGAACTTAAGAATGAGCTTGTTCACAAACTCTTCTTCTTCGTTGCCTTGCTGCATTATGCAAAGAAAATTAACGCAGCTCAAATTTACATTTGTTTTTTGTCTTCTCCATTTTAAAGTCCTAATGAAGGAATCAGAAAAAAAGACTGACACAGATTGATGCGTGATTATTAGATTAGTTGAACGCACCCTACAACTTAATAGAAAAGAAAAACTAATTAGTAATTAAATAATTAATAATTAATATATATAAGTTGTTAATTAAGAAGAACCTGATCAGCTTTGTGGTTTTCAACAGCAAGCAGGTTGTGGAGAACGGGCATGGGCAGTTGGTTTTCAAGCATAAGCATGTCACGCTTGATATAGGGCATGAGGTGGAGCTTTCCGTGCTTGCTAAAGATGGGATCATTGTGAGCATAATCATCCAGACTTTGAGTGGCCATTCGCAAGACTTCAAGCATGAAGCAACCATCAAGAATCATGAGCTTCAAGAATCGATCGTTGCTGGTGTCTGATTGCCACACAGGATCAAGCGAATCATACGAGTCTTTTAAATCTTGCACCACTTGGGCCAGAGAGTTGACATAGGATTCAAGGGGTTTGTTGGATCTCTTGAGAAAATGCAGGAGAGCACGGTGCTTGTGCTCCTCCATGGGCAACAAATGTGGCTCTCCTTGATGGTAAGGGCCGAAGGAGACAGCCTGAGGCTTGTAGGCTGTCTTGTTGAGATCTGTGACGCAAGCAGGCACTTTGTAAATGGATCGCTTCTCCCAGTGCTTAATTTCTGTCGGGGTATCTGCCATGCACTTCAGTTCATCATTTACTTTTATGACCCACTGCTCCCTTTCCCCCATTCTCTGCTCATCCGGCTCCCCCATTCTTTTCATGCACTAGCTTCTTCTTCTGTTCAGCTTCAGCTTCCGCCTTGCTAGCTACCTACCAACTCTTTACGTACGTACCTACAATTCCTATGCTTCCCAAGACCCAACTGTCACAAAAGCAACAATAAAATGCATCCCCATATACTACTCATTGTCTATGCCATCTTTTTCCTGCTTGTTTTCTTTCCTTATATATATACAATTCTAGTTAGTTAGTAGAGTATCTAGTAAGATAAAGAGAAGCATATCATCTCCGCTTGGAGGAATACCTTCTTCAGCATCTTTTTCTTTTTTCTCGCTTGACAGCCAAGTAAGGGACTTGAATCTTTCATTGTGCCGTCTGAATCGATTCTACAAACTCTTCAGGTGCAGTGCAGAATAGGGTGTGTCCTGCTGGACAAAGTGACAACAATTGGACCCAAATACATGAATATGTATATGTGTGCACATAAAAATGAAGATGTAAAGTAAAAAGTACAAGAATTGTATTCCTTTCTTTCAAAGACCAAAAGCTCATAATTTACATTTTAGCTCATAATATGTTATGTTATTTGTTAATTTATTAGTGTTTGTTCTTGACAGGAAAAGAATAACTCTCCATATTTCTCCTCACACGGTATTAACTTGAAGAGGGACAAAACGACGATATTGGGTTAGCTAGACAAGACGAAGGAATATGAGAGTTACTAAATACATATACATTTTTTGGGGGCATAAATTACACTCACCTCCCATGAAGTTTAGAGAAAATACTGTTAATCCTTTTACATAATTACAGTTACCTCCCTTGTGCTGTATTTAATTTGGGAAAAATATGCCTAAATTTCATCGAGTTTTACATATCTTTTTATTTTCCCTTTTCAAATCCCCTCCCCAAATCGCCAAACCAAACACAGCGTTAAGGTTTTAATTCATATAAAACATGAGTCATTTTTCATTGATAATTCGTGAATTGTATAGATTTAAAAATGATATTGTCATATATTTTCTACTAAAATGAATATTTATCTTTATTTATTTCAGTGTACCACCATCTACAATAGTATTGATTGCTTTAAACTTAATGAAAGAAATATCAGTGTAATTATGTCAAACTTGGGATTAACTGCATTTTTCTCAAACTAACTAAAAGAGAGATCGCTTTGTTTAGTGTCTCCTGAACTTCGATTTGGTTTTGGCTCTGATTGTTCCCTAACCAATGTTGTCCGTTCGGCCTTGGGTTGCTTCGTCTGTTTATCGAACCAACTTTATGTATATAAACATAAAAAAACTAACCTGCTTAATTTTATGTCAGAAATGTTGATCCCATGTATATTGGAAGAGCGAGCTTCTCTTACAACTCTCTGTGTAAGCAATGGCAAGAGCGCTGTCAATAAAAGATGACTACACTAAGATAATTATTTGATGTGTTCAGAAATAGTGTAGTTCCACTTGGAATACCTGCAAGACACTATCCTGCCCGTCTTGAGCTGGAAATTTTGACATTTGGTTAATAATACATTCTAGAGGAATGCACCAAGTAGTGGTGTTACTGATTACACATCATAATTACAATATTTAGATCTAGATCTTGATCTTAAATGAATTGAGCAAGATGATATTGATAGTATCAAAGCAAATCATTACATATTCTCTGTTTTCAAATATTCACAGAAGAATTGTTCTCAGAAAAAGCAGAATGAGGGATAGAAAATGATAGTTTTTAATCTAACACGTCATCCGAACAAGATCACATCATACAGATTGCAAGGAAATTTCAAGCAACAACTCATCATTTCTCATTATGTCAAAATAAGAGTGGCAATCCAAAGTTTGCTACAATAAATTTATCGTTGACTTCCCTTCCGACCCTTACCTGCTCTCTTGCCAGACAAAGTTTAGTTAACAGTGTTATCACAATCACTAATATCCTCACTAGGGCAGGATACAGCATCTGAGATATTAGTGGCATATCTCTTGACCCTCAAGGAGATTAGAATGCTTGATAAAATTCCAAGAAGGGGAAAGAGGTATGACCAAAGCTGAGATTGCTGAGAGCCAGTTGCTGAAGCCACAGCAGCACCAGCAAGGATGCCAATTGATGTGTTCTGCAAGATCATAGGCAGGCAACCAACTACAGTAGGGAGCAGGAAATCCACAATGAACCCAACCCCCGTAGCAGCCAAGGCATAGTTTATAATGTAGGAAGGTATGGGTGAGAACCGAGCAAGAAGAACAAATCTCCAGCCATCTTGTTCAACTCCCTTGGATAGCAGACGAAAATACTTGTTTCTCTGGGCCCACTCCATTGCCCAACTTGAATTCCTGAATACAAGTCTGAGAAAACACAGGATGTTATGGTCATTCCCATCCCATGCATAGAGATATTTAGAGTAAAAAACTGAAGAAAAATTTCTCAGGATCTCATTTCCAATATGTACATTGAAGAACCAACTCGTCACACGTAATACTAAAAAAAGAAGCTAGTCCCTCAAACAAAACTCTTTTTTCTTTTTTTTCTTTTTTTTTTTAGGGTATCAACAAGCCCGGGCATTGTGCATGGTACAAAAGGAAAATAGAACATTAGATGGACAAATACATGTCCCAATCCCAACCCAACAACACCCACCAGGAAATGGGTATCTTCATTATGCGAGTACCTAGCGCATTCTTAAAACTCTAGTACCATTTCCCTTTCAATAGAATGCTCTACTAAAAAAATTCCAAAGTTGTTATTCCTGTGCTGTTTATAAACTTGGGAAGAGAAAAACACACTCCAAATCCAAAATTGTAAGTCATTGTGGTAGCCCTAGGCCCCTAGTCATCAAAGTACAATTGAACAAGTAAGTTAGAAAAAATACCTGCCGATCCCGAAAGAGAGGGATGAGCCGAGGAGCTTAGCAGAGAAGACGCAGAGGACGGCAGGAAAGAATCCGAAGAGGAAAGAGGCCCCAGCCTCGAAGAAGACCGCATAGGGGATGCAAAGAGCGAGGGTGAGGGTGTGCAACCCTACGTAGGCAGGGATCGCCCACATCCCCAGACGATCCGACATCTCCTTCAACACCTGCAACGCGGCCTCTTTGTTCCATCCCCAACCGTACTGCTTGCTCACTACCGCTTTCAATACCCCAACTATCACCACCACCGCTCCTACTACCTTCCCCCACCGCCCCACGCTCAGACTCCGCCTGCTCCCGTTTCCCATTCCGACGTAATTCTCTTCTCTTCTGTCTTCTCTGCTCTTGTCAAGAAAGAACAACTGTTGTTGTGACGACCCTCCCAATTCCAGAGACCAACTGGAGTCGTCAGATCAGGTCAGATCACGAGGAGGAGGAGGAGGAGGAGAGACGAGACTATAAACACAGACTCAACCATAAGTAAAGTGCTCCAGGCCCATTATAGAGTGGGCCTGATCCTTCCTATGCTTACCAAACCTAAAGTTTTTAACAAAATTGCCTAAAATAGTTTTGCGTTAAGATTTGTTCTGGAAACGTTTTTTCACTTGTTTGGATCGGATTTATTTGTTTTATAGACAAATATATTTTATTTACTTATATATTACTTTATTATAGTACTTCATTTCTTAATTTTTTAAACATGACACATCTAAAATTATATTATTACAATTTTAAATTAAAAACATCGGTTTATCAGGTTGGTTCAGACCTAACAAATGGCTATCCTGAATGTTGGAAGGCCCAACCTCTTATTTTTTATTAATTAATTGACTTAGAGTGTACGATGGTGTCACGTCAATATTTTTTTTAAATAAAAAATTTAAGAGTTGTTTGGGGTGTCTTAAATAAGTGTACTTTTTGTCTTTTTAGATTAAAAAAATTGAGAAAAAAAATATGGATGTTTGAGTTAATTTTTTGGTTTTTTATAAAAAAATGTATATTAAAAATTTGTATAAATAAGTGTATAGGAGAAAATTGAAGAGGAGTGAATGACAGTTGTGTACAATCTGCCAAGCGAATTCATGAAAGAAATTATTTGGTACTTTTCAGGCATTGTAGTGGACTGTTTTTTTCAGCCCGTGGGGTTCATTATGGGTCCACTTTTGATAATTTGAATCGTTCAATGTGTAGAACTCGTCGAGCATTATATGCCTATAAAAAATCATGTTAATCGGATATCAATAGCTATCTAATCAGATTTGTTTTTTTCAATCATTAATTATAACACCATCTCTTTTTTTTACAAAACTGATTTGATCATATAGTTATTGATATCCGATCAATGTAATTTTTTACAGACATATAGTATTCGACAAGTTCTACATATGAACGGTTTAGATTATCAAAAATGGACCCATGATGGGCCCCACTGGCCGAACAACAGTGTGTTCAATTGCACCCAATCTCTTTAGATTTGTTCAGCCACACGCGGATTATATGCTTGTAAAAAATCATGTTGATCGGATATCGATAGTTATTTGATCGAATTAGTTTTTTTTCAACCGTTAACTATAACACCATCCAGTTTATAAATTTTAACTGATTTGATCATATAGTTACTGATATCCGATCAATATGATTTTTCACAGGCATATAATACTCGACGAGTTCTACACATTGAACGGCTCAGATTATTAAAAAGGGACCTGTGATGGACCCTCACGGGCCGAACAACACTGTGTTATTTGTACACCTAAATAAGTGCAATTTTTCCAAAACGTCAGCTCCTCCTGTGGGACGTAGAGTTGTCTGAAATTTAATTATGTGTAAAATTAATGTTTTAATTCTTTTTTTTAATAAATAGTAATAATTTTTTAACTTTTTAAATAATTTTTTAACTTTTTATCTTTTTTAAATTTAAATTTAAGTTTGTATGTGATGATTAAATTTTAACTTTTAAGGGTATTTTGGTAAGTTACAAAGTTTTTTTTTTTTTGAGCAAAATTCACTTTGTTTGGTTATGATTTTCAAAAATTCTACTCTTTTATTTTTTATATTTTAATATTTTCAATAAATTTTTTAAATATTTTAAGTAATGTTTTTTTTAAAAATTTTTAGACGCACTTAACCTAAATACATTTAAAAGTATAATATTTATGAAAAAAAAACTTTAAAAAATACACTAAATATCAAAAAATAAAAAAATAAAAATTTAGTATATTTTTCATATTTTTGCGCATTTTTTAATTTTTAAAAATATTTTACTATTTAGATACATCTAAGTGAGGTGCATCTAAAAAAATTTTAAAAAAAAATTACTTAAAATTTAAAAAATATTCACTAAAAATAAAAAAACAAAAAACTCAATTTAAAAAAAAATTGAATTCAAAAAACTGAAACCAAACATTCTGATTATATTTTGGAAGATAGAAATAAGTCAATCAGTAAAATTACCGTGGAGAGTGAGAGAGAGAAGCCATTAATGTAGGTCTTACGTATACATTAAATTTGGTTCAAATATTAATGTACGGAAATGGCAAGTTGTATCTGTGTAATTATTGGCATTTTGATTTAGTTTCCAATTTTTTTTTATCAGCTGATTTTGTTTCCAATGTTAATATGTATAACAATCTAATCATAATTAATATATATACATACATATTTTTCATTATAAATACATACATATTTTTTCATTATTAACAAATTTAATCTTCTGCTCTATAGCGGTGGTGAAAAAGAGAATCCCCCATACCTATTCTTTTGTGTTCTGGGTTTGAGAAATTGTGGAGAGAGAGAGAGAGAAGCCATTGAAGCTAAGGTATGTCTTTTCCATTATTGAACTTCTCTTCTTTTTTTTCTTTTTATTATTATTATTATTATCATTATTATTATTATTATTATTTATGTTTCTTAGTAAAAGAATTTTCTGATGGCTTTTCAGTATTTGATCTTGCCTTTATTATATACAAGCAGCCGGGCACACGCATCGCGTGTGCCAATCATTTGAAATTATGATATGAAATTCACATTTTTAAAAATTCATATTTTTCTCTAATAGAGAAGCACCAAATGTAACGCCTCCAAAATTATACCATCAATACAACCCGTAAGCGGAGAGATAATGGAAATAACACACTTTCATTCATTAAAGTTCGTATACAAAGATAACATATGCGATGTACATTCACAAATCGTTCATCCTGAATCTACAGCATGTGTTACAGTGATAAGAGAACTGAGAGCCAAACAGGTAATTAAATTCCCTATAGGCTTATATCTTTCCAAGTTATTGCTTAGTTACAACAAAAGTGAGCCTAGCTCAATACAGTTAAGCCCTTGGCTATACAAAAGTAAAATAAAATAAAGAAACCCTTACTTCCCAAAAGTCCTTCTAAGCTACTGCCTTGGTGGAGATATATCACCAGCACTTGAAAATGGTTTTCCGAATTAGGGTGAGTCAAAACCCAGTAAGAATAATCTAACACAGTATATGAGATTTAGCAGAGATATAGGTACAATGTGCATACACAATGCTCGTGACAAAATATTCACATTTTTATAAGATCGTAAAGTACTAAAGTTCGTATTTCAATTCATTTTCCATCCATTATTTTCAAGTTAATTTATCCTTTTCAACTCATGAGCCAATTTCATTTTCTTTCAACAACCCAACTCAGACTGCAACTCAGTGGTTATCTAATCAACATAATTACCACACAAACACTTCAATCTGCCATTTTACGAAAATTTCGTCCGTGGGATCGGCACCCATATATACACAAGATTTCAGGACTTTCACCCTGGACACTCCGGCCAATTTAATTTCAATGGAGTTTATCCCCTATCTCCTCCCAAACATAGAGTACATCTCCTTTCTCCTCCCAAACATCATAGATGTGGGTGTTGATTTTTGACTACATAACCAAACAGGGAATACTCAGCAAGAGAGCACAAGTAGAATAGATTAAGCTCGAACAACCTATTACAGAAAGATAAGAATCCGACGGTGGTTCGTCCACCCGGGGGCACTCCGACGATCAAGTCAGTAATTATCTCTCAAAGATAGCCAACAGTGCTTAACTCACTAGATAAAGCATAAAAAGCATACCGTAGACCCACGAGGGTGCCTTACCTTTATAGCCAGCACTAACCTGATCCCTGTAGAATCCTAGCTTCAATGGACTCTGGCTCAATGCTTACCTGGGACTCTGAACTAGATAGAGATAAACTACTTAAGAGCTTTATCTTTATCCAGACTGATGTCCTCCCCAATTGTAGGACTCATATCTTTTATCCGCTCATCTCGGATTCCGATATCTCTGCAAATAACCTCAACCTAACTGAGAATACCTCGACGTCATGACCATGCCACGTGACACATAGGCTGACACTTCGGCGTCACCTTGGCCACGTGTTGTCATTCACAAAATATGTCCCCACAACTGCCTCCTAGGTTTATTACCTCGGCATAAGACTTACTCTATCCTTCATGACCGAGATTATCACGCGTCGGCTTCACATGACCAAGACTTTGCAGTTTGCTTTATCAATGACCAAGAACCAAGAACCAAGTCCTTCAAGTCCCTTAACCAAGATCGCTCTTGTAGTCGAGGTTTTTTTCATTAAATCAAGAACTACAAGAGTTTTATTTGCGCATGAGTTGTCACGCACGGTTTACTAAACCATTTCTGCCACGCGTCCTTCTCTCATTAACTCGTACTTGACACGCGCTATCAAGACGCGTTGCTTTTGCGCACACTGCCTGACAGACACATCGTCCAAGGGATATCATTATGGTCTTGCCACATTTTCGTGTTTTAACAAAAACTCTTTCTCTCTCTAAGTCCTTTCACTTCGCATTCCTCTACTCTCTCAAAGTTTTCTCTCTCAAACCACCATTGTTCAAGCTTTCAAGCTCCACAACTGTTCTGATTACCTCCTCTAGTGACCTTTTCATCGTCTGTTTGTGACCATTCATGTCGTTTGACTCCGGCAATCCCCATCCCGACGTTTGTTTCCTTAATAAGCCACTGAATTCCTCCATTTTCAGTCTTACATTATTTCTTTGATTTGTTTCAAATCTGTTACCTGTTTACATGCTTTTTGTTGCCATCGCAAACCAGTTTTTTGTTCTTGAATCCTTGCTTGTGCTCTGAATTTCATCATTTAGGTGTCAAACATGCTTGTTTGCGACTTTGTGTTATTCAATCTGTCTCTGGGTCCATATATGTACATACGAACTGTTCATATACTTGATGTTTTAGCAATTTGTCACTGTTCTTGGCTTTTGCACATCTACACACACTTATTCAGTGTTCTTGAATTTCTGTTTGTTTTCTTGAGTCTGAATCATATTCTTTTATGTTTTTCTTTGACTTGTTTCTAGATTCTTCGATTTCTTATTTCCGTATAGATTTAGGTTTTGGGATTTGAAAGAAATCATATTCC